TACCTGTATGCTGTGCACTAGTGAAGATGGGGGTGTCAATAAATTAAACAGTAGAAAGTAAATAGAACCTGGATTAAAAAAAAAAAAAGTCCATACATGCATATGAGCAAACACCTGGCAGGGGGGATGGGGGTGATAAGGGCTATAAAGTATCTAAAATCAAAATGACAGTGACACTTCAGGAGTTTCTTCCTGCAAACACATTTACTGACAGGTCCTCTTTAGGTCCTCTAAACCCTCTTCTGTCCTGTCCTGTCAATGTCACAGCTTTATCTATACACACTGCCAGTTTGACCTGCTGAAATATTCATTATTTTTTTTTTTTTTTTATGGTTTTGTTTAGTGGTGCAATTCTGGTGCCAAAATCGATACCAAAAATTCAAAATGCATGTGGCCGAAAACCGACCCGAAATGTCTGCGTATGTGGGGGTCAGGAGGCTCCAACTGTTTTATTTTTATTTCCTACATTTATGTATTTTTTTTTTAACTTATGATTTTATTGCTATCACATAGGGGACCAATAGTCCCCTATGTGATAGCATATGAGTGACAGGTCCTCTCTGTAGGGGAGAGGGGGGTGGGGGGCAGTGTGTGCAAGGAGGGGGCAAGAGAGGAGCAGTGTGTACAGAGAGGCTCCCTCACTGGCTGTCACTATATGTCGGTGCCGGTTTTGAAATGCAATTGCCGGCTTTTTTTTCTCTTCATTATAGCTCACAGAATTAGCTGTCACTTTCCCCAGAGCTAAAGGAAATTTTGTTTCTTTTGAAAGAAACTAAAAGGAAACTATGTTTCTTTTAGCTGGGGGGGAAAGTGACAGCTCATTTTGTGAGCTATAGTAAAGAAAAAAAAAAGCCGGTAATTACATTTAAAAACCGGCACCGACATATAGTGACAGCCAGTCAATTTATACACTCCTCCTCTCCTGCCTTTCTCAGCCCCCCCTCACATCTGCAATACACACAGTCCCCTGTATTGGCTAAATTATTCCTATCTGCAAAATGCCAATAGCACTAAATTTCGGTGCATCCCTAATTTTGTTGCACAACAAAAGGTAAGACGTTGTTCTATAAAACAGACTAGAACCTTATTTTTCCAGACCACAAATCTTCTACATAGAAAAAGGTCAATAGTATAACACAGGGCCCTCCAATCCTTATACACGTTCCTGGGTCCACTCATCAGCACTTCCAGTCTGCGGCTCTGTCGAGGACATAATTTCCGGGTCCAAGTACACGCGGAGTGCCAATCCTTTTGGTGGTGTTCCCTGGTGGCTGAGCATTGGAACGGAGCTGGTTACACCCGCGGAATATTGGTAGCCTTCTGCCTTAATCCTTCTCAGGACTCCGTCGGATGGTATTTTCTCCCTGATGACCACCTTCACAAGCGCTGGGCTATGGTTTTGAATGTACAGAGGCTTGGATGTGATCTGTTTTCAATATAGGACTGTATTCATTCCATTATGGTTGCTGGTTGCTGAATGAATGATTCGTGTATGGACTTTTTTTTGGAAGCGAGGTTCTATTTACTTTCTACTGTTGAATTTATGGACACCCCCGTCTACGCTAGTGGCCATTTAACTCAACTCCACAGAAAGGGCGCAATAAAATTTGCATGTTATTTATATATGTTTTTCAGATAGTTTTGTAGCAAATACACAGTATATAAATTAAACCAGTGATTTCCCAATCATCTACTTTGCACAAATAATCTATTTAGTGTGAAATAATTTTGAGTAGGTTATTTTTAATGTGCAGTGATGACCTCTCTGCAATAAGAAATCTCAGCAGTAAATACAAATAAAACAGATCTAACAGCTCTAATTAGTATAAACGAGTCAAAACACATTCTCATTGATTGCATTATTCTTCTAATTAACAGACAGAAAATTAAAAAAAAAAAAAAAAAAAAAACCATTAACTCAGTTTTTAATAAATAAAATATTGTATCTTTATTTAACAAGCTATTCACATTTGCAGATTGAAAAACATTATGGTACCAGTAACAGAGCATAACAAAAATGTACTAACACTGCATGTAGGGTCACTGATCCTCATCAGCCAATCACGTGTGTGCTTTATCTCTTTTACACAGATCCGTAGCAAAAATGCATATGGTTTTTGCACGTTTGTGGTGTGTTTTGTTTTTTTTTTTTTTCTTTTTCTTTTTTACAAGACATGCGACTCAAAAACAGCACAAAGAACCCAACAAGGTTGCATTTTTGCTGTGTTTTCCATTGATCTCAATGGGGAGGTGCAATTGTAGTCCATATTTTTTTTTATCGCCCCAAATCTGCATTAAATTTGCAGCAAGCGGGATTTGAGAAAATGAACCAGACCTGCAATGGATCAGTGTGAAGAGTTCCACAGGAATACATGGTTACTGGTTTTTTCTTCTGCATTTTTACCGCAAACACTACTGAGAGGTTTCAGTAAAGCTTGGGCTGCAAACAATCACAGGACAGCTGAACGCCAAGTTTGGTAGAAATTGAAAACAGGGAGAAAATCTAACACTCAGTAAGTGGTTGGCCTCATAAGAAGTAAAGGCTCTAAACCATGTACTTCTGGAAAGAATGTATAAAACAATAACCGGAACACACAATGCAGTGTTGTACAGCGGTGAGCCCTTCTGCAGTAGCAAAGCAGTAGAAATCAGCACCCCGCAGCTGAGGGAATCTAATCTTCAATGTGAAAGTCATGCTACAGCTTGCAAAAACACCTAATCTGTCATTATGTATTTTTGATGCTGTGCGTTCTCCCAATTGGATTTTTTTTTTCTTTTAATAAAAAAAAATCCAAAAAAGGGGACAGGCTCAGTGGAGTTTATTTATTAAAGCTGGAGAGCGGAAAATCAGACTCACTTCTGCATAGAAACCAATCAGCTTCCAGGTTTTATTGCCAAAGCTTAACTGAACAAGCTGAAGTTAGAAGCGGATTGGTTTCTATGCAGAAGTGAGCCTGATTTTGCGCTCTCCAGCTTTAATAAACTCCAGATTTTGTAAATAAACCCCAATGGATCACTTGGTCTTTTCCTGTGGTTACTTTTCCAGGTTTCCTGACATTTGAATGGAGTCTTTTGTATAAAAAAAAAGGGTATCTAAAATATGAGGTGTTTTTGGATGGTGATCAGGTAAGTGTTAAAATGCCCAGTTGGCGCTCAGAGAATTAGGGCAGTTCACACTACATGCATTTCAGTTGCTTTTTTTCTGCATCCAAAAACGCACAGAAAGTAGGTGATATGGTTGTCAATGTCATAGTTCACATCAGTGTTTGCAGTTCCAGTGCGTTCCGGTTGCAGAAGAAACAAAAGTAGAACAGGCTGCATGTTTCCTGCACAGAACTGTACTGAAACGCAGTAAAACGCATAAAAAATGCACGAGGAACGCACATGTCCCTATTTAAATTGAAGAAAGGAGAGGGGAAAAAATGAAACAGAACGCGTCAAAAACACACAGAAACATGTAAAAAAAAAAAAGCATCAAAGCACCAAAAATGCGCATATGGAAGCGCATATGGAACGCATCTGGACTGCGTTTCTACAGTGTGAATCAGCCCTGAAAGATTTAAATAAGGAGAGCAGCCATCAGCACAAGGGACACGTCTCATTCAATCCAAGCATTGTTCCTGATGGAGATTTAAAAAAAAAAAAAAAAAAAAAGGATCATTAAATTTAAGCTTTAATTATTTCTCTAAATTGGGCAGCCAGGAAAGTAGTATTTTTATTTTAGAGAGCTTAAAAGGTTTTTTTTTTCTCAAAAGGGCTATTGGCTCTTTCTGTGAATTCTCCCCTCTCATGGTCAGACAAAGCAAAAAAACAAGCTGAGCAGAGCAGAGATACTGTAGCTCTGTGTTATCAGACCCTTTATCCTCTCTCGTACATCATTATCAGACCCTTTATCTCTGTGTTTATCAGACCCTTTATCCTCTCTCTCCCCCATCTCCCCGTCAGACCCTTTATCCTCTCTCGCCCCCATCTCCCCGTGTTATCAGACCCTTTATCCTCTCTCGCCCATCTCCCCGTGTTATCAGACCCTTTATCCTCTCTCGCCCATCTCCCCGTGTTATCAGACCCTTTATCCCCATCTCCCCGTGTTATCAGACCCTTTATACTCTCTCGCCCATCTTCTCGTGTTATTAGACCCTTATCCTCCCTCTCACATATCTCCCCATGGTATTAGACTTTATCCTGGCTCTCGTATAGCCTCATGTTATTAGGCCTCTATCCTGACTGTCATTATCCTCCATGTTAGTAGACCTTTATCCTAGCTCTCATATATCCACCTAGGTTTTTAGACCTCTATCCTGGATTTCATGTATTCTCCCATGTCATCAGACCTTTAATAACAAGGCGGACATATGAGAGCCAGGATAGAAGTCTAATATTGTGGATATCTACCCTGGCTCTCATATATCCCCCAAGTTTTTAGACCTCTATCCTGGCTCTCATTTATTCCCTTATGTTATTAGCACTCTATCCTGGCTCTCATACATCCCCAAAGTTAGCGGACCTCTATCCTGGCTCACATATCTCCCCAATGGTATTAGCACTTTATCCTAGATTTCATATTTTCCTATGTCATCAGACATTTAATAATAAGGTAGATATAGGCCAGCCAGGATAAAGGTCTAATATTATGGTGGATAAATGAGAGCCAACTTAGACTTCTATCCTGGCTCTCATATATCCAAGTTATTAGCAATCTATCCTGGCTTTCATATGTTCTCCCTGGCATTAAAACTTCTATCTTGACCGTCATATTTTCCCAAATAATTAGCGCTTTATCCTAGCTTCCACAAGTGCTCCTCTAGATTTTAGCCCTTTATTCTGGTTCTCCGATAATCCCCCACAGTAGTAGACTTCTATCCTGGCTCACGTATATCCTCCATGTTATTAGACCTCAATTCTGGCTCTCAAATATCCCCCATACTAGAAGACCTTTATCCTAGCGCTCATATATCCTCTCTAGGCTTTACGACATCTATTCTGGCTCTTATATATCCCCCATGTTTCTAGACCTTTATCTTGGCTCTCATATATCTCCCATGTTTCTAGACCTTAATATTGGCTCTCATATATCCCCCATGTTTCTAGACCTTTATCTTGGCTCTCACATATCCCCCATGTTTCTAGACCTTTATCTTGGCTCTCACATATCCCCCATGTTTCTAGACCTTTATCTTGGCTCTCACATATCCCCCATGTGCTCGTTTCTACACCTTTATCTTGGCTCTCATATATCCCCCATGTTTCTACACCTTTATCTTGGCTCTCACATATCCCCATGTTTCTAGACCTTTATCTTGGCTCTCACATATCCCCCATGTTTCTACACCTTTATCTTGGCTCTCATATATCCCCCATGTTTCTAGACCTTTATCTTGGCTCTCACATATCCCCAATGTTTCTAGACCTTTATCTTGGCTCTCATATCCACAATGTTTCTAGACCTTGGCCCCATGTTTCTAGACCTCATATCATATTTATCCCCATATGTTTTAGACCTTTATTCTACATATCCCCCCATGTTTCTAGACCTTTATCTTGGCTCTCACATATCCCCCATGTTTCTAGACCTTTATCTTGGCTCTCACCCCCATGTTTCTATTTATCTTGGCTCTCATATATCCCCCATGTTTCTAGACCTTTAATCTTGGCTCTCACATATCCCCCATGTTTCTAGACCTTTATCTTGGCTCTCACATATCCCCCAATGTTTCTAGACCTTTATCTTGGCTTTCACATATCCCCCATGTTTCTAGACCTTTATCTTGGCTCTCGTATCCCCCATGTTTCTAGACCTTTATCTTGGCTCTCATATATCCCCTCTAGGTTTTACATCTATTCTGGCTCTCATATATCCCCCATGTTTCTAGACCTTTATCTTGGCTCTCACATATCCCCCATGTTTCTAGACCTTTATCTTGGCTCTCACATATCCCCCATGTTTCTAGACCTTTATCTTGGCTCTCACATATCCCCCATGTTTCTAGACCTTTATCTTGGCTCTCACATATCCCCAATGTTTCTAGACCTTTATCTTGGCTTTCACATATCCCCCATGTTTCTAGACCTTTATCTTGGCTCTCGTATATCCCCCATGTTTCTAGACCTTTATCTTGGCTCTCATATATCCCCTCTAGGTTTTACATCTATTCTGGCTCTCATATATCCCCCATGTTTCTAGACCTTTATCTTGGCTCTCGTATATCCCCCATATTATGAGGCCTTTATCCTGGCTCTACCACCACCAGCAACACCTGAATGGAGATTCCTTGGAGAAGGTAAAGGGGGATTCGAGGACAGATGTAAAAAAAGTAGTTCTGTGCTGTCAAAGCGCAGCTTGTCGCACCTCTTCAGATGCTTAAAAAGTGCAAGAAATAAAAATATTTTAATATATACAGTAGTCTCTTTATTTTATACAATGGCAAAGTTAATATAAAAATAGAGGTAGTACCTTTAAACCAAAGCGCAAGAGGAGGTGTAAAAAAAATGACAGTATGCAGTTGTGCATAAATCATTCCACATTCCATCCCGGCAGCGGCAGGGTTAAGTCTACAGGAAGTGGCGAAGGGCATATTCCACTTCTCCTGCAGACACCAGTCTACATTCTGCAAAAAGCGCAACGTTGGCTCTCTTCTGACAGAGATGTCCTTGAACTACTTTCCCTAGCATCAGGTGGTTTGCGCGCCGCATATTCTATTTAATGACAGATGGATCCGAGCAGCGAGTGGAACAAAGCAGCAATCGCAGGTTTAACAAGGCACAACATCCGCTTTGTATCCCAAACACCATCGTGTGTCACTGCATGACAGTCTCATTTGCCTGGCTCTTAGGGGTGAGCTGATCCAGTAAATTTATGAGCACGCTCAATCTCTCGGACAGTGTGGAAATCTTGCTGGCTGAAGCCCGCAGCAGGCTGGAAATAGACTTGCTTGTAGGTTTTCAGAGAGCTTTCTTCTTCTGTGCCGTTACTGGAGGAGAGAAATCAGCCAAGCTCAGACACTAAGTACAACATAATCTCTGTCAACCCAGACATTACCCGTGTTTTATCTGCACACTTACTGCAGGAAAATACAACGCTCTCACATTCTGACTGTAAACGCTGGAGATAAAGACTTGCATTTTCAAATTTCACAAAGTAAGGCCATTAACATGCACCTGCAGCCTCGGAAGGAAATAAACAAACGGCCTCCTTTAAAAACACAGCCCTGTAAGAAGGCTCCACCCTTACTTTTTAAATTGTTTCTTTATTAATGGCCAAAATGTAAAAGGTATTTAGGAAGGATGATATTGACGTAAAGCAATTCTGTCGCTGAATTAAAGTTCCAATAAACGAAGAGGAAAGTAAATACTCCTTGCTGCCGCTGAATGCCACAGTAATGCAGAGAAATCTTCCCCTGGAGTCTCTTCATAATATGACACTCCAGGTTCTCTACTGTGTTCAGCACTTCCTCCACTGACCCCTCATTCCCTACAGTTGACTTTTTTCTTTAAAGTGTTTAATTACATAAGTTCTTTTTTTTCCACAAGAGAGTTTATTGGAATGATTTACATTTTTTATAACAGCGCAAGACATTACTTGTTTATATTGTAAGTGGATATTGGTTGTTTACATATCAATGAGTGCTGATATTTTACCTTTATATATTTTTTATTGTATTACTTTGCAACAAGTGCAGTTACATATGTGTAATTTTTAGGTTATACCATTAAAGTGTTACTAAACCCAGGACCCGGCACTGACTATATCCGCTCTCCCCGGACCCGGCACTCACTACTATATCCCCCCCCGGCTCACTATATCCCCCCCGGACCCGGCACTCACTATATCCCCCCGCTCTCCCCCCGGACCCGGCACTGACTATATCCCCCCGCTCTCCCCGGACCCGGCACTCACTATATCCCCCCGCTCTCCCCGGACCCGGCACTCACTATATCCCCCCGCTCTCCCCGGACCCGGCACTCACTATATCCCCCCGCTCTCCCCGGACCCGGCACTCACTATATCCCCCCGCTCTCCCCGGACCCGGCACTCACTATATCCCCCCGCTCTCCCCGGACCCGGCACTCACTATATCCCCCCGCTCTCCCCGGACCCCCCGCTCTCCCCGGACACTCACTATATCCCCCCGCTCTCCCCGGACCCGGCACTCACTATATCCCCCCCCCCTCCCCGGACCTGGCATTCACTATATCTGGTCTCCCAGGACCCTGCATTCACTATATCTGGTCTCCTCGGACCCTGCATTCACTATATCTGGTCTCCCTGGACCCTGCATTCACTATATCTGGTCTCCCTGGACCCTGCATTCACTATATCCGGTCTCCCAGGACCCTGCATTCACTATATCCGGTCTCCCAGGACCCTGCATTCACTATATCTGGTCTCCCCGGACCCTGCATTCACTATATCTGGTCTCCTCGGACCCTGCATTCTCTATATCTGGTCTCCCACAGTACATACAACATGGAAATACCTTTTCTCATCAGCAGTTAGAGCAGTCTTGTGACTTCCGCAGAGCACTGGTTAAAGCTTGTAGGAGGAGTTTTCTTTCTGATCTAGGAGGATGTGAAACCTCTGACCCTATGTCTGAACAGTGCTGATTGGCCCTGTGCTGATCATATGCACTCTCCCAAGAAAAAAAAACCTTTAGCAATACACACTAAACTGAGCATGTGACTACAGATTCAGTCTATCAGATGGTCATTTCAAACAAGAGGAGGGGCAGAGAAGAAAGGCTCAAACAGCCTTTTTACACAATGCAGAGGATTAACCTCTTAGGTTCCACAGTGAGTATAACAAGCATTCTTTACTGCATATACAGACTGATTTCACTGTTGTGGGTTTAGTAACACTTTAACATTTGCATTCAAACACTACCATTACCACCAAGTTCCATCTTCTCTATTTAGCTGCTGCAACAAGGTTAGTTTGTGGGACAGTACGGTGACACATGCCTTTCAATCTGATCATTCCGATTTTACAAAATGTTCAATAACCTTACTAAAAATAAATTAAACTGGATGCACATCTTTGTGTTTTTTTCACTAATTGCTAAAGAGGTTCTTTTCTAATTAAGTAAAAGAGAGGCTTTTGGAAAAGTCAAACTTTGTGGGGTTCCGGCGACCCCATTTTGACCTTTACAATTGCAAAATTGATGGAATGAATATCTGAAGAAAGCAGTCAGCTTCTGGGCATTATAATCCATGGAAACGTGGGGAACATGCGCTATACATGTATGGCACCATCAACGGAAACAGAATGCAGAGGAAGCCAGCTGTAGAGAGATGTTCAAAGGTGCTAAATGACAGCTGAGCCCGTCACGCCTAACTCTTCCACACGATAATCTGCCAGGACTGCCATAGCAGCAAATCGCAGTGGAGGCATTTAAGAACCAGAACATTTCTGAAACATCACCCTTCGAAAATTCACTAAAATAGAAGGAACCAAGATTAGCCATCTTTCCAGTATTATGCGCTTTAAAAATGTAATAAAACCCCATTAGAGACTGCTGCTTCCGGCAGATGCCATCCATCTAGTAGTCTATAGCAGCCTTTCTCAACCAGGGTGCCCAGGCATCCTGGGGTGCCTTGAGGTTTGTTTAGAGGTGCCTTGGCAAAATGTCTAAAAATTGCCCGAAAACTTGTATACAAGCCATCGGGTGAAACAAGCCTGCCTTTTAGCTACACAAAGCCACAGGATTTCATTGTGCACCATTACAACCTTCTAGCCGCTGGCATCCTGACGACCAAAAACATCATCAGTTGATAAGGAGGATGTCAGCTGCCTGCACAGCATCCTAGTTTGACCCTTCCCTGCCCCTCTCCATCAGTGTTGGGGTCACATTAGCTCTGTGATGGAGAAAAACTGAGGGAGAAGAGAAACACTGGAATACTAGTCAGTACCAGCGTGCAAAAGTGTATTTGCTTTGGAAGAATAAATCACCTCTAACATTGGGTGTCCTACATGTGTGGATGTTGCTGCGTTATATAAAACTATTAGAATAGTTTTTCACATTTTAGAATGGGGTGCCCTTTCAAAATTATGGACAGTCTAGAGGCACCCCATTTTAGAATGGGGTGCCTGAAGACTGTCCTTAATTTCAAGGGGTGCCTCGGGGACTGTCCATAATTTCAAGGGGTGCCTCGGGGACTGTCCATAATTTCAAGGGGTGCCTCGGGGACTGTCCATAATTTCAAGGGGTGCCTCGGGGACTGTCCATAATTTCAAGGGGTGCCTCGGGGACTGTCCATAATTTCAAGGGGTGCCTCGGGGACTGTCCATAATTTCAAGGGGTGCCTCGGGGACTGTCCATAATTTCAAGGGGTGCCTCGGGACTGTCCATAATTTCAAGGGGTGCCTCGGGACTGTCCATAATTTCAAGGGGTTTCTCGGGGACTGTCCATAATTTCAAGGGGTGCCTCGGGACTGTCCATAATTTTAAGGGGTGCCTGGGGACTGTCCATAATTTTAAGGGGTGCCTGGGGACTGTCCATAATTTTAAAGGGTGCCTGGGGACTGTCCATAATTTTAAAGGGTGCCTTGACCGAAAAAACGTTGAGAAACATTGGTCTATAGAGCGGTTGTATTGTATCCATTGCACAGCTTACAGGCCTTCCCACATTTCATGCAGGGGGCTGTAATGAACTGGTGGACGATGCCACAATGCAATCAGAGGAAAACAAGGATCTTCACCTCTGCATAGTGATAATCTTGTTCTTTCTTCACATACAGTCTCAGGCATCACGAGTCGCTCCTTCAGGATTCGTAGGATCCCCATCATTCTGCCAAGCTGTGCTGTTGAAGATCCTCATTTTCCTATTCATCTAGTGAGTCTAACATCAGCTCCTTCATCAGCAGGAAAGATCGCTGGTGAGATTGTACATGAGCTATGTGCTTGTGCTTTACACAATGACCTGTAGAGCAGGTGAAAGATATTTCCCTGCTGCGGATATTGATAAATTCCCCCAAACCCCTGCCTTGACAAACCTCCATCTAGTTACAATTTACAGCGAAGTCGAAGCATAAAACTAACGTGACTCTGCACATTGGTCATGTAGGGAGCTGATAGACTGTATAAAGAGAGATAAAGGCGAGCAGGTTTCCTCATACTACACGGGATAAAGCGTTAAGCTGATGAAATATCATGACACTGGAGAGCAGAAACAATTACCAGTTGTGGACAATCACACTAAACAAGCATCTACTTAGAATGCAAGGCAGGATGTCTATGGAATACGCTGTGTCTACACTGCCATCTCGTGGAAACCTTCCACAGCACACTGGCTCTGCAAGTGAAATCACCCGAACATTAAAGTGCTTCTAAAGGCTGAAGGGGTTTTTTTTTTTTTTTTTTTTTTTTTAACTTTCATGCAGTCTATGCACTAAAGAAAAAAACCTTCAGTGTTCAGTCCTCCCCAAATACTTAAACACCATCTTGATCCAGCATGGAGCACCAGCTCTCCAGCCTCTCTCTCTGCTCATTGGCTCAGACGCAGCAGCGGGAGCCATTGGTTCCCGCTGCTGTCAATCACAGCCAGTAAGCGTGGCTGAGCCGTGCTAAGTGTGTCTTAAAGACATACAGGGCTGGCTGCAAGCCCGCAGAACTGCCCCTATAGCAAACAGCTTGCTATGGGGGGCACTTGGGAGGGGGGAGTAGCCAGGGGACCCCAGAAGAGGCGGATCGAGGCTGCTCTGTGCAAAACCATTACACACAGCAGGTAAGTATGGACATGTTTGTTATTTAAGAAAATAAAGTGATTGTAAAGGCAAAAGTGTTTTTTTTTTTTAAAACTATGGAGGATTTCCAACTTTTTATAAATGTAAATAAAAAACACTGGGGGGGGGGGTAGATGAATATGTGGCACAGCTGTATTAAGTGACCAGACATGAGCAGGCTAAAGTGTTTCAAGGATTTCCAGGTACATATAGTATATATTTCTGTTACTGGAGTAATGGTCCCTTTCCATT